CTAATGCTAACGCAACTTGAATGTAAACGAAGCGTGCCAGTTGCAGTTAGGTTAAATTAAATTAGATTAGGATAAGCTTAATCAGCTGATATTATGCGATAAGTGAAAACAAATGCTTATGGCTATTGATTTACATTTTTAATACCTTGGCACACAAAGATAAGGCGTACACAATAAGGCAATCATCTTGTCAATGACAAGAATTTCGATTTGTTAATTTTCTTATTGTTTACGTCTTAAGCCCGATTGCACCAACGTTATTTCAGCTTTAAGCGAGACTTAAATATATGCTTATCTTTCTTTCTAAATAAATAAAGACAGACATATATTTAAGTTTCGCCTAAAGCTGAAATAACAGCCTTAGGCCCGGTTGCACCAACGTTATTTTAGCTTTAAGCGATACTTAAATATATATCTATCTTTGTCTTTCTTTCTAAATAAATAAAGACAGACAAATATTTAAGCTTCGCTTAAAGCTAAAATAATGTTGGTACAACCGAGCCTTATTGCTTACGTATTCTTGTGTGCCAAGGCTCTTATTACAGAAAATCGAATATAGTCGATTCTGTCTAAAGCGAGAAAGAAAGAAATAAAAACTGTCATACTGGAATGCACGTGATATATTAGTGATGAAGCCACCAGTCGACACATTCACTGCTCCAACAATTCGTAATGAGGAGACTTAATTGCGATTGCAACCAGTAAAATGAACAGTGTATTTGTTGCAACTCTGACCTTATTGTTTTTCGTATTATCTTACGAAGGTACATATGCATACATCACCGTATATCCGCGACTCAAGCAATATCCTCTCGCTGATGGAGAGGATCCTGGTATACCGCTTTTTCTGACACCTTTGATAGAGAATGGAGAAATTCAAGAGGCACGAACGAAGGCTCTCGTTCAGCACAAGGATATGGGCAATGTTACTAGTTACTCGGGTTATTTCACAGTTAATGAAACATATAATTCCAATCTTTTCTTCTGGTTCTTCCCAGCTATGGTAAGCAATGTTCAGTAATCTTTTTGTATATATAATTATGTATGTAATTTAGTTGCTATAAAAGATTTTCGAATGCTTGCTTGTATCGAGTGCTTTATCATATTTACCCAGTAAGCAAAATGTTAGCAGTCTGCCAACAGCATGCGAGCAGATTCAAACAGAATATTGCGACAGATTGGCATCAACTGCGTCCGCATTAAGCTTGAGTTCTGCTAGCAGAATCTGTCAACATAAATTGACAGCAGATTGACAGCAGAAATCGAGCAGGATCTGAGCATGCAATTTGATGTTAGATTGTCAGCAGAAACCGAGCAGAATCTGCGCATGCAACCTGATAACAAATTGACAGCAGAAACTTCACAAGATTTGCGCTTACTTTTATTAATGTTATATAAATGCAACACAATTGATTATTACAGGTGCTAAATAACAATATTATCGGCAAGTTAATTAGAATTTTCTTAGAAAATGACATATATGTAATATGTTATATCGTAGTTATATCTCATATAGCGAAGGACTAATTCAATTTAATTAAATTAATAATAAAGTAAATGTAACTTGTAAAACTTAAGATGAATTGACTTGAGACTAATTTATTATATTTAGAATTAAATTCTTGCTTTATGCCTCAAATATGAATAATTTTTCATTTATCATATTGATTTCAATCAGTTTAATATTTTGACTCTCATTTGCTTGTATCAGATATCATAAATTAAAATGATAGAAATTAAAATAATTACTACATTTTTAGTCTTTTATTCATATTCGCGACTTTATATATATTTCTGACAGAAATTCAATTAGGAGAAAGTACAGCTCACGTAGCGGTAAGTGAAGGAATTATCGAATCATGCAAACCTTGTTCCGTTTCTGCCATCAATCTGCTATCAGAGATGTGTGCGCAGATCCTACTCGATTTTTGCCGACAATCTGTTGTCAAATTGCATCGCACAGATCCTGTTCAATTTCTACCACCAATCTACTATGATAATTTTAAACAAATCCTGTTCAGTTTCTGCTATCAAATTATGCCAGCAGGTTTTGTAACATTTCTGCTGACATTCTGTTATCATTATTTGATATAACAAATTTATTATACAATCTGCAATCATACTGTCGACAAAAATTTGTAACAGAAATTGACAAAATCTGTTTGAACAGATTTTGCTGACTGGGTATACAAATTTCATAAAAACAAAAAAAATTAAATCGCTTTCAACAATAATATTTAATATTATCTAAAATTCTTAATATCTTTCTGAAACTAATAAAACTCTTAATATCATTTTAAAATTCTTAATATTTCTTTAGATTTTTAATATCTTTCTAAAACTACACTCTTTCTACCCAGGTAGCAGAGTGACGTAAAATGACATCTTAATAACGTTTTAATGACATGTCATTGTACGTCATTAAGACGTCTGAAGACGTCATCTTGCTACCTGGGTAGTAATATCTTTAAAGATATTTATGTGATTTAAAAGTATTTTTTATTCCTGTAATCAATTATCTTATAATGATATATATGTACATATACTTTATTATAAATTAGAATATTATTCGTAAAGATTAAAATTGCTTAAAAGTAATTGTTTGTGTATCACAGCATAATCCAGAAACTGCACCAGTAGTTGTATGGCTACAAGGTGGACCAGGTGCGACTTCCTTGATTGGTCTTTTTTTAGAAAATGGCCCTTTTATTGTAACTGCTAATAAAACGTTAAAGATGCGAAAATATTCATGGAACTCGGAGCACAATGTTATATACATTGATAATCCAGTCGGTACTGGCTATAGTTTTACTCATGATAAAAAGGGTTACGTAACAAGTGCAACACAAGTAGGGAGAAGTCTTAATTCTGCTTTGGTACAATTTTTCTTACTATTCCCAGAATTACAAAATAATGATTTCTTTGTCACTGGTGAGTCATATGCTGGGAAATATGTGCCAGCAGTGTCTCATGCCATTAAAAATTATAATATCAAAGCAAAAACAAAAATTAACTTAAAAGGTTTAGCCATTGGCAATGGATGGGTTGATCCAGAAAATCAGATACGATATAGCGATTATTTGTACCAAATCGGACTAATAGATCAAAATGGAAAGATTGAATACCAAAAATATGAACGAAAATGCCGCGAGTTTATTAAACAAAAAAAATTCGCCGAAGCAAACGAGATTCTTAGTATACTCATTCCTGATTCAAACTCTCTGTTTCATAATTTAACTGGTTTTGAGTATTATTATAATTATTTAAAAGTAAAAGACGACACTAATTCTAATTGGATGTCCGAGTGGATTCAAAGAGTTGATGTAAGATCTGCTATACATGTGGGTAATAATAGTTTTCACAAAACTGACATTGTCCGAGAATATCTAATAAATGACATAATGCAATCTATAATACGCCATTTAGAAGATCTTGTGGAACATTATAAAGTACTCCTCTACAATGGACAATTGGATATCCTTGTGGCATATCCACTTACGGAAAATTATATACAGAAGATGAAGTGGTCAGGAGCATACAAATATGCAAAAGCACCAAGAAAGTTGTGGAAAGTCGAGAATGAATTAGCAGGCTACGTAAAAACTGTTGACAATTTAACAGAGGTTCTTGTGCGAAATGCAGGCCATTTTGTTCCCTATGATCAACCAAAATGGGCACTGGATTTAATTACCCGTTTCACACACAATAAGAATTTTTAAATGATTATCTTAAAAAAAATTTTGTGTATAAGTAATTTCGTATTATATAGTTTATATATCATATAAAACCGATATAAAGTATATGGATCCATAATAGATAATTCTATCCCTTGAAATAGTCTAAATTCATAACAAAAATCTATAATTCTTATAACGATAAATTCTTTGGATTTTTTTATTATGATATTTGACAAATTTCAATTAATTTCATCTGCATTTCATTAAATTTAATCTAAGTATAATAAAAAAATTGATCTTACTGAGATATTTTTATGATTTAATATGGCAAATTCCTAGCATAATAATGAGTTTTAGTTTTCTCTGTTTATCTAATGTTTCCGAGAGCTTATTATGTCATTCTTATAAATAGTTCTGTCAGACATTTCTATGACAGTGCTGTTATTAATGTAATATCTGTAACAAAAAAATGATTACTTTGCCAAGGAATGATAACCATATCACTTGACTTTCCGAGTAAGTTCATGTAAGTATCATAAGTTAAACCTGTTACAAAGTTGTTGAAATCACGATGTAGAAAGAATAAGAAATTAACTATAATATAGTATAATGCACTGAAATCATATAAATTATATTAACTTAATGATAAGGATTGCAGTTTTCAACACTAGTATATAATGTCCGAATCATGAATAAAAGAACTCATATAAGCAGTCTCATAAACTAAATCTGGAAAGAACAAATGCAGGAAATATGCTAGAAACAAAATTTCATGACAGCAACAAAATTTTTGCTTCCTTCTTCTTTTGAATCAAAATTTCACATCATATTCTATTCTGTTTATGGCAAACTCAAGAAAATAAATTTTCTCAAATTATGCATAGGAAACTTTATATAATATTGCTAGAGTTAATAAACCAAATCAGTCTGATTCTAGTCTATTAAATGATTATAGTCTATTTAAGAAATGCAGTACCTGTTTGAAACTATTATGATATGAGTGTTTCTTTTGTAAACTGTAACATTTTCTTCCTCATCCTATTTGGAGTTTGGAGAACTTAAATAATGTTTAAAATAAACATATCACAACATTTATAAAAGCATATATAAAACATTAATACATTTTTAATGTTTAATAGATAGGAAATCCTCCTTTTTGCATCATTTGATATAATAATAATGTTTTTCTTGCTATTATAAAATAATGAAATTTAACATTAAAAAAAAATAGCTTAATAAATAACTAACATTACAACCTTTATAAAAATTTATAAATTACAATGTATTAAATATCGAACTAAATCCATTAATAAATATAGTAAAATAAACACAATAAGCCTCGCACGAACTCTGTTTTGATTGCTAATGCTAAGGTGACTCGTGAACGTGAAAGAAGCGTGAAGTACCGCTAGTTGTGGTTAGGTTAACAATAAGTTTAATCAGCTGATCGATAATTGAGCGGTAAGTGAAACAACAAATGCATATAGCTATTGATTCGACGTTCCTATTATTGGAAATTGATTATAAATGTTTTCATTTTTCACCAATTCAGAGGAAATAATTCATGATTGACTTTCTAACCATGCTTAAAACGAATAAAAAATAAGAACTATCATGCTGAATGCGCATGATACAACCCTGAGATATATATTAGCGATAAAGTCACAAGTCATTTGCCGATCTTTCATTTCGCAGTGAAGAGCCTATTAATCGCGATTTGCAGCCAGTAACATGAATAGTGTACTCTTTCCAACTCTGAGCTTATTATTCTTCGTATTATCGTACGAAAGTACATATGGATTCTTGAACGTATATCCACAACTCAAGAAGTATCGTCTCGCTGATGGAGAAGATCCTGGTACGCCGCTTTTTCTGACACCTTTGATAGAAAATGGAAAAATCGAAGAAGCACGAGCGAAGGCTACCGTCCAACACAAGGATATGGGCGATGTTAGCAGTTATTCGGGTTATTTCACAGTTAATAAACAGTACAATTCCAATCTTTTCTTCTGGTTCTTCCCAGCTATGGTAAGCAATGATCAGTAATCTTTATATATATATAATTGTGTATATGGTTTTAGTAGTTGCTATAAAAGATTTTTCAATGCTTGTACATAACTAGTGCCTTAAATATTTATACAAATTTTGGACATATGTACCTTTAAAAGTATTTTCTCTTTCTGTGAACAATTATCTTATAATGATCTAATTGTGTATAAAATAATTTTTTAAAATTGATAGTTTTTCAATTATTAATAATATAATGACATATATATGATTTATTAAATATTGAAATTATTGTAAGATTAAAATTGTTTAAAAGTAATTTTGTTTATGTGTCACAGCATAATCCAAAGACTGCGCCAATAATTTTATGGCTACAAGGTGGACCAGGTGCAACTTCAATGTTTGGTCTCTTTTTGGAAAACGGCCCATTCATTGTAAACGCTAATAAAACGTTAGAGATGCGAAAATATTCATGGAATTTGGAACACAATGTTATATACATTGATAATCCAGTTGGTACTGGCTATAGTTTTACTGATGATGAAAAGGGTTATGCCACAAATGAAGTGCAAGTAGGAAGAAATCTTAATTCTGCTTTGGTACAATTTTTCCTACTATTCCCAGAATTACAAAATAATGATTTCTTTGTCACTGGTGAGTCATATGCTGGGAAGTATGTGCCAGCAGTGTCTTATGCCATTAAAAATTATAACATCAAAGCGAAAACAAAAATTAACTTAAAAGGTTTAGCTATTGGCAATGGATTATGTGATCCAGAAAACCAATTGCTATATAGTGATTATTTGTACCAACTCGGGCTAATAGATCAAAATGGAAAGGCTGAATTCCAAAAATACGAACAAAAAGGCCGCGAGTTTATTAAACAGGAAGAGTTTACCAAAGCAGAAGAGATTTTTGAAGTACTCCTTAATAATGATTTAAATGCCACTCCATCTTTGTTTCAAAATTTAACTGGTTTTGATTATTATTTCAATTATTTAAAAGTAAACGACAATAGTAATGATTCTAATTGGATGTCTGAGTGGATTCAAAGAGTCGATGTAAGATCTGCTATACATGTGGGTAATAATAGTTTCAACATTGAAACCAGCATTGTTGAAAAACATCTAAAAGAGGACATCATGCAATCTATAGTAGTCCTTTTAGAAAATCTTCTGAAAAACTATAGAATACTCATCTACAATGGACAATTGGATATCATTGTGGCATATCCACTCACGGAGAATTATATACAGAAAATGAAATGGTCAGGAGCAAACAAATTTGCGAAAATGCCGAGAAAGTTATGGAAAGTTGGAAACGAATTAGCAGGCTATGCAAAAACTGTTGACAATTTAACAGAGGTTCTTGTACGAAGTGCAGGCCATATGGTTCCTTCCGATCAGCCAAAATGGGCATTAGATTTAATTACCCGTTTCACGCACAATAAAAAATTTTAAATAACTCATTGTTATTACCATAGGATGTGATATAATAAAAAGTGAGATTTCAGTAATGTATATATACATATATGAACATACATTTAGTATATACAAATATCTTGATAATATTTAAAATACTCTAAAGTTTTATAAAGTTATAGATAAACATAACAGATTTATGCAATAGAAATTAATAAATTTACTTAAAAAAATTTTGTGTATAAGTAATTTCTTATTATATAGTTTATACATCATATAAAATCGATATAAAGTATATGGATCCATAATAGATAATTCTATTTCTTAAAATAGTCTAAGTTCATAACAAAAAGTCTACAATTCTTATATATTACAATTCTTGTGTGTGATTACAAGAAAAAATTACAGTATATAATTACAATCATTTACCTATATGATATGAAATAATTTTAGCATTATAGATATACATGTCATGTTCGTCTCTCTTTTTTTTTTAATTTAGATAAATTTAATTTCAATATAAAATGTAAAAGAAAAATGTCACAATATAGATAAATTTATAATTAAAAATAAGATAAGATATAGATAAATTTATAATTAAAAATAAGATAAGATATAGATAAATTTATAATTAAATTTATAATTATATAACTTTTTATTATATAATAATAAATTCTCTGGGTTTTCTATTATGATGATATTTGGTAAATTTAAATTCTATTTCATCTACATTTCATTAAATTTAATCTAAGTATGGTAATAAAAATTGATCTACTATTGAGATATTTTTATGCCACTCAGTATGGGGAATTCCTGGCACAGTAATGAGTTTTAGTTTCCCTTGTTTATCTAATGTTTTCAAGCCAATTGCATCATTCTTATAAATAGTTCTATCACGCATTTCTATCACAGAGCTGCTATTATCATAATATCCAAAATGGCTACTTTGCCAAGGAGTGATAACTCCATCATCTGGTCCTCCAATAAGTATCATACGTTTTAGCTTAATTAAACCTGTTTTATAATCAGAATTATTGTAAACATCTATTTCATTGTTCACATATGGTAAAAATTTGCTGTATTCATGATATAGATTCTGAAAGAACAAGAAATTCACTATAATACACTGTAATATAATTACTATAATATACTAAAATCATAAGATAAGTTATATTAACTTGATGATGAGGATCATTCCAATAATTTCCAACACTAGTATGTTGTCCAAGTCTTGAATAAAATAGTTCATAGGCAGTTTCACAAACTAAATCTGGAAAGAATAAATGCAGGAAACGTGCTGGAAATAAAATTGCATGATTACCACAAAATTTTTGTTTTTGTCTTTTTTTAAACATTATAATTTTACATACTTCCATATTGTCCTGCTTGTGGCGAACTCAAGGAAATAAAGTTTCTTACATTATGCACAGGAAATCTTTGTAATATTGCTCTGGCTAATAAACCACCCTGGCTATAGCCTATTAAATTAATTCCTTCAGGAAATGCAGCACCAATGGAAAGTACATCCATACCAATTTCCTCTACCTGCTGCCACATTGGTTCCAGGCTACTCCAGCCTGCAAACCTGACAGTGTTGTAAACTGGAGTTCCAGGATGCATCTGTAAATATTTATTAAAAATGCATTTCAAATAAAAAGATTAACTCTACTACTTCACCTAAACTATAAATTATATTCATAACATCTACAAGTTATCAACCTGAACATAAAAATAGTTATAAGATCATTAGCAATATTTGAGAAATTGTATTAAATATACATTTGAAATGTAATAAATTAAATTAATATATATAAGAATGTAAATGTTTTTTATTTCAATATGTATAATTATATTTTTTTATATCAATATTATGAGGCGAATATTAATATATATAGTAATTTATACGAAATAATTGCAGCCATAATCAATGTCAGTGTCATTTCTTCGCGCTAAAATGATAATATTGACAATGAATTTTCTTTTGTTCTATCGTCAGCTGTTACCTACATCCTGGATTCTGTTACTAATTACTTCCATACTGTCACTTCCAGTAAGAACTCCATGAATGATGACTACAGCATGATATGTTTTTGCTTCGTTATACGATAGTAAAGAAATTAAAAACAAATAAATATATATCACAGAATTTCTATTTGTCATTGTTTCTTGCATGAAACTGACTCTTAACCTCACAATTATTAGATTAAATCAGCTGTTTAGAGCTGCACAACACACATTCAATTGCACAGCAATTTTTATATTTAAAATGAGATGGATACATAATTAAGTGCTTGAGAGAAAGAAAGATAGATGAAAATGTAAACAAAGAACAGATCTCTCAATGCATTTCATGAAACGATAAAATAAAGGAGATAGAATGCAGAGAGAAAATTGCAAGGTATCATGGTCCACTTTTAGATGATTCCTGAAAGTGGTACGCCCTCTGTGGAGATTAAAAACGTGAAAACTACGAAGCCACAAATGTTCTCAGAAGGTAACATATAATGTGCACAATTTCTGGTTCTGTTCCATGTTAGTGACACGAAATGCTGGTAGCTAGTGCTGTATAGCAAAATGCTTATGTATAAATATAAATTTTTAATTTTAATTTTTTAAATAAGTTTTGTGGCTCTCTCTCTCTCTCTCTCTCTCTCTCTCTCTATTCTCTTTTTTACAAGCTACGACTTGTTCTGAAATATCTGCGTTATTTTTAGAAAAATATATATATGCCGATCGAAAAAGCGAGCTGGAATACAATCGATTAATTAATTAATATTTTATTTTCATGAAAATAATAGCTATTTAATTTAAAATATTACATGACATATATACATTGGAATTACATACATATTCTGTGTGTGTGTCTATATATATAGAGAGAGAGGGGGGGGGGGGAGAGAGATACTTCTCTTTTCGAAATATATTATATTAGTGTTGAAAAATCTAAATATATAATATATATTTAATTTCATTGATTCATATCTATTTTATATAATATCACAAGATATAAATAAGAAGTTGAAATTTGACTTCAATCGCGAAACATACTGTAATCTTCCAATGTAACATTTAAAGATGAAATAAATATTTTTCTATATATTCATTGTCATATTCATATTTATTTACAAAAAACAAAATGTCTACTGTAAGATAAAAATATGTTTCAGTGTATTTCTATAAATCTTCTTGATTAGCAGTAAATTGATCTTTGATATTCATTAATCATTTTTTTCATTATTTAAAATTTTAATTAATAATACATGTATAGAATTTGTTAAATTAATCATTGATTCTTTTGAAGAACTTATAATTAAAATTCGAAAAATATAAATGTTGCAAAATATTTTAAAAATATCTCTTCCTTTATATAAAATATAAAGAATTTACATATGTTCCATTCTAATATAGTCAACATTATTTATATATTTTTATTATAATTTTTCCTAACAGCATAATATTTTTAGGCTTAATACTCTATATAATATAATGTACTAAATTATAAAATTTAATATAATTACAAAGTAATATTATTAATAAGTAGATTATATGCAACTGCAAATTGTCTTTTAGTTTCTAATAATTTTCAATCACCATACATTCTTATCCAATATATTTTCTTCTTCGGGTCCTTGGAGTATGGTTTATTGTATTTCTTTGTCCTAACATATCATAAGGATTTGTCATGTTTCTTCCTTCTTATGGAGTCTGAATATTTTTTATGGACATTTGTTCTCGGGTACAGATATTTAAATCACTGTAATTGTTCTTTATCTATTTTCTCGATTACTGTTTCATTTTCTTCCATTTTACTCAAAAATATTAATATAATTTATATATATATATATATATATATATATATATATATATATTGTGTGTTACGCCCGCGAATCATAATCGATATTATCGAAGCGCGCGACGCAACTATTCGATACACGCGGCATTCGCGAAATTAAGACACTCTTTGTGAAAAAAGGGAACAAGAACTTTAATAACTTACAATGTAGCACAGTACAATAATACAAAATACGAAACTCGTAATTAAAATACGCGAATAGTCGGAGCCGTCGGAAACGCGTCCGAATCTGACAGCTCGCTTGAATCTCTCTTCTTTTTAAACAATCTCTAATAACGTGTTAGGGGATGATTCTTTTTTTTAATTCCAAATTTATATTACAATCTATCTCTGACAGAGACATTCAGTAATACATATAACAATAAAAAATAATAATAATAATAATATGATTGCGTCCTGCAAGAGGAGTGCCCATTGGCACGTCCTTATAACTAATAAGGGATTATTTAATTAAATCCTGGAGTATTTTTCTTTTTAGTCTACGTGTCAACTGTGTAACTTTTATAAGATCTGCTGCAAGGGCGTTGGGATGTGCTTTGATACGATCCAAATAGTTCAAAATAAATCTCTTTAATAGTTTGGATACCCAAATCTCGATGTAGGATGTCGTTTGTGACGTATCACGGGGCATTAACTATAATCCTTAGCATCTTTGACTGAAACTTTTGAAGTTTTTCTATGTTAGAATTTGAATCTGTTCTCCAAAGCTGGATTCCATAATTCCATATTATATTAAGGATACATTTGTAAATTAATCATTTATTGTCGATTGATAATAGTGATTTACGGCCAATAATCCAATACAGTTCTTAATTGCAGTCCCAATTGCTTGCGTTTCATGAGTATGTGTTTAATAGTAGTAGAGACTAAGAGAGTAATCATATTTTACTAGATCTAATTATGTATGTAAAACAGATATTAATCGAATATGATCATATAAATATAAAATAATATCGCGCCCATTTTCGAATATTATTATATATAATTATATAAAATTATGCATATTTATATCTGAACATATTACACCCTTTTCTTCTCGCGTAAAAATATGCATTCATGAATAAAAAATACATTTACGATAACGACAACAAAGCGGTTGAGTTTTAGAATAAAAAGTTAATGAGTTTTATTTAAACAGTTACAGTAAACAGTATCACGTTTTCTTTCTTTTGTGAGTTTTTTACGCGTGAATATTTTTATAAGATTTCTATTTTTTTAAATATTAATTGTGTGCGATAATTAAAAATTAATATTTCTTTTAAGATAAATATGTTTATGTAATGCACATATAAAATATTTCACAATTATCATATAACTTTAAAAAACATAAGATAAAACTTAAGATAGAATTATAAATAATTTCAAAGAAAATAAATAATTTCAAAGAGTTAACGATTAATGATAATTATTTTTATTGAACAGAACATGAAACACAACGAGCTGAAGGTTGTAAATTCATTGTACTCCACATAAAAAAAAAGTATATAATATACTATTTTCCTATATAGGATATAATAAATTATATTGAACACCCATACAAGAATTGTGGAGTGAACTTCGCATCGCGTTGTAAAGTATATGCGTGGACGCAGTGGATTCCCCTTATGAGTGAACTCCACTTCTAGAAGATATAATTTAACCCAAACTTATTTCCGAAAACTAAAATATTTGATTTAAGTTACGTTATATAGTACAAACTAAATTTTCGTTTTGAATCCAACTTTAACTTTAAATATCTCAGAAATTATAAGAGACCGCCGAAATTAAATTATAAGTTACTTAGGATTATGTTCTTGATAACATATGTCAAGATCAAAGTTATACATGAGGTTGCTCTGTTTCTGTATAATTATCAACAAAAAATTTTTATCAATGTAAAGCAAAAAGTTAATTATAAAAAAATGTATCTTTATATAATTTTCTTACTAATATTGAAATGTTTCTTTCAATTTTTCCGTTATTTAATGAATGCTTCATTACCTATATAAGTATATATTTTGCATTAATATTAAAATGGCACGAAAATCAAGAGAAGTAAGGAGCGAGCAATGATCCTTCACATGTACATTGATGTATAATAATTAATTCGCATGGAATCTTAGATCGTTGACTATAGTCATAGTCATTATATTCATAGTCCAATAAAAAAATCGAAATTTGAGGGATTTATTCCGCTAGGATGTCTCATCTTAATGTTGTCCCGAATATTCTAAGCTAAATAATCTGCGCAGACTTGCGATCGTTAGCCAATAATAATCATGATCCTCTTAATTCTCAAGCTAATAAAAAATCGGATTTCATCGCGAAACCTGCGTCTTCTTAGCGCCCCAATCTTACTTCTCTGATCCTCCTTGCATCCTCGTTACATTCTTCTCATATCATCATAATATATTACGTATATATTTCAATAAAATATTATATAATTTGTAACAAATATTATGATAGTATACGTGACACTATCATGTATCTATACTAGCATGTACTGTTGTGCGCCAAGCTAAAAGTTAGTGCTGATTGACGCGAAATTGCTTTATAATTACTACTTTATTAAACATTATAGGATAAAATAGGTCAGGACTTTTCAACTCGATTTTTGGTTAAGAATAACATTATGTATTTATTCGCTTTTTAAGATACATCTTATCAGAGTTAGGAAGTAACGCGTTACTTGTAACGTCGTTACCATAACCGTTACTTTTTTTCAGATCGTTACTTTTTTCTATCTAAAACGGTAACGGTAACGAATTTAACCGTTACTTTTATCGTTACTTTAAGTTTCCTGTAATCCTGGATAGCATTCCCTTAGTAATTGAAAAATTTATTCCTATTACAAAACAGTTTGCAAGTATTTTGAAAAATTATATACATGCATGATGTTTTTCTCTGTATTCATAAATCTAAAATTTCTAAATTACAATAAATGAAAAATTGAATATGAAGAACATCAATGATGGCATAATTTATAATTATCGAATATATAAAAGCAATAATTATATTTTAAAATCAATTATAATAAATAATATAAAATAATAATAATATTTTCAAATAAATTAATTTAATTTTTATATTATAAAAAGTAACGAAAAAGTAATGAATCGTTACTTTCTTAGTAACAGTAACGGTAACGAGTTACTTTTCACGAAAAGTAACGGTAATAGTAACGCGTTAATTTTTGAAGTAACGTTCCCAACTCTGCATCTTATATACTATTGGCTCCTCGAATTTGTCGAAGATATTGCAAAAGTCTTAATCATAAGTGTAATAGTCTAAACTAGAAAGATTTGCTTTGGAATCGATATGGATCCGCAATATTTGCATGATTTGCGAATAAATCTCTAATATCGACTGAATTTATTGTCGAATTGTATCTAGTCCCGTGCTCAGAAAATACATTGGATGACGTATCAGTTTTCCGAGTAAAAGCTTCCAGATTTTCTCAGATTTGTAGGCGACGTCTTTCGCCCATATTAAGTCATTTTGAAGTCCGTCAGTTAACAGATAATCTAGAGGCATCACTATTTGTGTAAAATTAAATATGTCAAATGTACACATATGTAAATATATGTAAAATTAAACGCCAAAGTATTTAATTAAATAAATATGTATTTTATATCAATATATATTATAGTAAAATATAATCAAAAATCGGAAACAAACAGTTAATAATATAAATAATAATTTGCTCGTGTTTCTTCATTTTGTTCATAACTTCCATATGATTTAATAGTTTTCAATATCGAATCCGAATTTGTTAAAACTCTTTTTCGAAACATATTTTTTTTTTATATATTTTATGTATTTTATATTTTTATGTATTTTATATATTTATTATGTATTTTTTATTTTATGTATTTTATTGTATAATAAAAAGATATTAATTTAGACATTAAATAATCATAAAATCACAACTGGGGCAAGTAAATTAAGGTACAAACGGCGATGAATTATTTGCGCATAAGAAAAAGATAAAATTATGGGAAGATACAATTTTTTGATTGCTCTAAAATGTATTTCAGAATTACTTTAAAATTAAACATATAGATAGACCAAGAAAATTAATTTAAACATGTATTAACATTTTATTGTGTTTACTCACTGATAAAACGCGTATTCTGATTTCATTATTTTGATTTTCAAGGTTGTTTTCATAACATACGTATTATGATATCATATATCACGTGTTAAACGTTGGCATTTCTCGATAGGATCCCAGAACATCAAGATCCCAGAACAGCAAGTTAATATAGATATTTTCAATATTAATAAAATTTATAATAATAAAGAGTTAATTATACTTAATTTTTATCTATTAACATAAAGAACTAAATTCTGTGATCTGTGGCATCATAATATATAAGGTAAGTTACAACAAAATAAAATACAAACCGTTTTCAAAAAGAACAAAATGTATAAATTATATATATGTTGGGGACTATTTAAATAATTTTAATATACATACATAATAAATGTAGTATTTACCTTCAGAGACGATCATCTTTTTTAAATTGTCATTTTTATAAAGATATTATAGCAAAAAGATTTTAATTTCACTAAAGCATATGTATTATTATATTATCTTAGAAATAAATTAAATTTAAAATCAAGCATTTAACAAAGAAATCTTTTTATTAAATGTCAATATGATTAAATCTAATCAAATTAAGTTTTTATTTATTTATTTAATACTTCATTTACTAAAATATATAACGAAAAATTATGATTCTTTTTCTTTAGAGCTAGATTTTTTAAATAAAAGATTATGTTATATTTTTTATATACTGTCTCTCTTTTTATATTCGTAGTAATAATAGCAATAATTAAAGAAAATTTATAACTAGCAGTAATAATAGCAGCAATTAAAGAAAATTTATAACTATAACTATGTAATATAAATTTGTGGGAAATATACGATGTGTCAAAAATGATGAATAAATTTGAATAAATTTGAAAATTAATTATCTAAAAACTGATATCTTTTTTATACATTTTTTACTGGTATAATACCTTATCATTTATGTAATACTTATAAAAGAATAACATTATATAACATTATGTATTATACGACATATAATGCTGCAAAATTTAGTTCTGTTAAGTTCATCTCTCGAAACTTATCTTTTATTCTACTTACATAATAAGAAAATATTGACTTTATAAACATTTAATATGAAAAAAGTCTATAATATCTGGCCAATAAATTAATAAGTAAATTAATAAGTAAATTAATAAGTATAAAAAGGAGGAAATGATTTGTTTGCTTATAAGAAAGAAAATAATATTCTAAATATTATTACAATTTTTAAAAATAAAATATTATTAATCTTTTTATTTCTCCAATGTTTTCAAAAATAATTACTTTAAAATCAAATATACAGTGCGGGAGTTAAATTTAATCAAATATTTATAACTTCTTGTTTATTGATTAATAAGACGCTTATTAAATTTGACTTCACATTGTTTTCATTTTAAAATTCGTTTTAATAACATGTTTATTATGATCAGGTATTGAACGTTGTTACTTTTCGGTAGTTTCCTAGAAAGTCAAGATTAACTTGATATCTATATGATATATATATATATATATATATATATATATTTCTTATCAATATTAATAATATATGGTAACAACGAGCTAATTACACTTAATTATTATCAAAAAACTAAATTCTAACCGAATTCGAACCTAAATTCTAACAGACAATTATATACGAAAGGTGAGTTAGTATAAAAACAAAATATCTAATACCACAACCGTATTTAAAAATAAATAAAATGTATTATGTATGTACGTTGAGGACAATTTAAATAATTTTAAAATACAATCATATATAAAACAAATATAATTTTTCTTGTCAAAAATGCCTATCTTCTACAAAATTGTTATTATATTATAGAATTTTAATTTTTAAAGCGTATATTATTATATTTTTTTTTTAAATAAAACATAATTTAATTAAAATTTAAATAAAATCATCATCATTTTATATTATGTAATATTTTCATTTCCTTAAATAACTCACAAGAAGAATATATGAACTTCGGATTATCGATTTTACTGAAACTTTGCCAGTATGTAGTACTTAATAATTAATGTATAATTGATTTTTGCAAAGCAGTAAGACACACTTTATTTATTAACTCATTATTTCAAATATTTGAAAATGAATAAGAATAGGCAAAATTATATGTGACGACATACAAAATTGGATTTCAAGTTGTTTATTATTTTCAAAATTAAGCACATTTAAATCATAAAAAGTAAGTGAAATAAATAAATAAAAATAAATGATGAAAATGAATGAAACTAATTTTCTGATTTATCGACATCAATCACGATAATATATATCATAAAAATACAAAAAACATAATTATGTTATTTGCATTCAAATCGATGACTCTAAAGTCGCATATTCTGCTTGCAGTGTGAATATTATCATCAAGATAACAAAGAAAAGATTAGTCACTGGCAATTTATAAAGTTATTTTAAAAAGATAACTCTTGTTATTACACATTTACTTAACTTATCTCTTACATACAATGTTAATAAAAAATAGTGATTATACGATATTTAAAAAATAATGATTATATAACGAAATGTTCAGCGCATCCGCGATTGAAATATTCTTCAGTACTTTAAAAATATTGATGAAAACATCTATTCAATATATCGTCGTACACATATAGTGACAGTGATATATCTTACAAACAATTGATTGCTTTTTGACGGAAAAATTATTTTAAACGTTTCTTGTGTAAAAAATGTAATATTGATAATTGCATAAATTTTTTTAAAATTTAACATATAAAAAATGTTTTAAATGAATTTGCATATTTTTATAATAATAGATTATTTAATAAGTCAATTTTTAATATAAACATGCAAAAATATATTATTTATCGTAAGAGTTCTTAAGATTTGATTTAAATATTTAAATACTATTATCGAGTTAAGTCAATCAAGTAATATTTTTTTTTTTAGTAGTAATAGTATATTTATTGACTAATTTTATACAATTTATGTCAACTTGTCAACATACATTTGTTAATTTTATTTGCGTGCAATCAAGTAATATTATAAAATTAAAATTCTATTAAAGTAAAATTAATTTATGAACAAAAAGAACATTTTCTATATTAATATGATATTTTTCTCCTAATTCATGCAAAAGAAAGAAAATAAAAATTAACTTTAATTTATCTAATAATAAATTCAATGTTAAATATACTAATTTTTTTATTGGCTTTATATCTTCGCAAAATTTCGCGTTTTTATGATTCTAATCAAATTATCGAATTTGATTTTATAATTTGATAATCATGATAATTTATGATTGTAACCAAATATAATGAAGTAGCTCAATTTTATTTATTTTTAGACGAAAATTAAGATGTTATTCGCGGAATTAATTGGGATTTTCAGCGTTGCTTTGATTATTGCGTATACTTATTATAAGTATGTGTTATTCAATTACTGGCGCAAAAGAAATATCTTTTATATTGAACCTGTTGTGCCAATTGGTAATATTGGAGCCGTAGTGACTAAAAAAAGAACAATGGGCGAGTATATTTTCTTACAACATTATATATTATAAGAATATATTATAATCCTTATAATGCATTTATTTTTAAGCAAGCAATCTTTATTCTCTTTAATATTTTTTTTTTTACTCTGTTTCCTTTTTTTCATTTTATTTGAAACAAAAACTAGTGGAATTAAAAAAAAATTTTTTTAACAGGCGAATTTTTCTGTGATGTCTACATGAAATATAAGGAACATCGTGCCTTTGGAATATACGTATTTTTCAAGCCAAATCTGATAATTACTGATCCTGATCTTATTCGAATGGTACTGACAAAGGAATTCAAGAATTTTCATGATCGCGGAGTGTTTTGCAACGAGAAGATTGATCCACTGACCGGTAATTTGTTTTCACTGCCTGGGAAGAAGTGGCGGAATTTGCGCATCAAGTTGACACCCACTTTTACTTCAGGAAAAATAAAGCAAATGTTTACGATTATGAAAATGTGCGGCGATGAATTTGTGAAAAATTTAGAAAATGTGGCTCAAACAGGAGATTCAATCGAGATAAAAGATTGGTTTGGAAGGTAAAATTCTTTAAAGAGATAATCTTTGAATATAATATATATTCATACAAGAATAATCTTTGTATGAATATAATATATATTCATACAAAAATTATTAAAAAAAATTGTACATAAAAAAAGTTTTTTAATATTACCACAATAATTTGTTGAAAATGTATTTATAGATATACAACGGATATAATTATGTCAACAGTTTTTGGAGTCAAATCCGATTGCATAGAGAAAGAGGATAGTGAGTTTCGATATTGGGGAAAAAAGATCTTCGAAACGCACACCTTTTGGATCACTTTAGCTTTTCTCATGCCTCAAATTTTGAATTTCTTTTCCATTCGTTTTTTTGACCGAAATATAGAAGAGTTTTTTATGAAAATTTTTCGAGAGAATGTGGAATATAGACAACGTCATAATATCATCAAGCATGATTTTATGAATCTGCTCATACAACTTATGGAGAAGGGTTATATTGAATCCGATGATATGAGAGATATCGATAAATCTTGTAAATATGTATATAATTGTTTCAAATATTTATTTTCTATCGCGCTTATTTTGTCTTTTAAAATCAATTTTGTTTTTGAATATACATACAATTCTTATTTTAATTAAATACAGATAATAATATGACGATATAATTAATTGAATGTAGTAATTATATAAAAAAAAACTTTTAATTTTTCTTTTAGAATACTTCTAAAAGAAACAAGATTAATATAAAATATTTTGTTTATATATAGCTACCATCAACAGGCTTACTTTGTCAGAAGCGGTTGCGCAAGCTTTCGTCTTTTTCGCTGCTGGCTTTGAAACTACTTCGACAACAATAACATTTTGTTTATACGAATTAGCTCAACACCAACACTTGCAGGACGAACTTCGCAATGAAATCGATAAAATATTAAAAAATCATGACGAATTGACTTATAATGCTGTGAACGAAATGACATATCTTCACAAAGTAATAAACGGCAAGTTGATAATCTATATTGTGTAATAAACGGCAAGTTGATAATCTATATTGTAAAGTCATCGGGACGAATTATTTTTATCAAGTTTCCTTCACAAACAGATTACAAATTCTAATTGGAAGTTTCTACACACACATACACACTAATATTTCTTGATTTACATATATCTAATAATATCTATATCTAAAAATAACTGATTATATATTTTGAAGTGTTTTTATATTTTTATATTTTTTTATATATTGCAGAAACAATGAGGAAATATCCGCCTGTAACTACTTTGCATCGCATCTGTACCGAAGAAATAGATCTTCCAACAACAAATATTCATGTTCCAAAAGACACATCAATCACTATACCGATATTCGGATTACATCGAGATCCATCGATATATCCAGATCCTGATAGATTTGATCCTGAACGATTTAACGAGGATAAAATAGCAGCTAGACATCCTTTCACTTATTTACCATTTGGAGAAGGACCACGAATTTGTATCGGTGAGAATGTAGATAAGTCTTTGCTATCTAATTGATAAAATCTGTTTTCTCATTGTTTACGCGATTTTTTTTTAACTTTTTATATTACTAATCTTTTTCAATATATTTTTAGAGCAATTTTTTATTAAATTATGAAGGGTGGATAAAAATATATATAGATTAATACATATATTTCAAAACACATATAATTAAATAATTAAATATTTTATTTATAGTAAATATAAATTAATAATTTATAAATTAATAATTTATAGTAAATATAATATAATATAATATATTCTTCAAATATTTTTTCAAAAGTCTTTTCTTCTTAATATTTATTTATGATATTATGTAAGCAACATTATTGAATAATAATTATGAATATCTTAATGTCAAATAATCAAAGGATCATTGAAAAAGTGTAGTCAATCAAACTAGCCAGAAATTTTGTTTATTAATACGACGTTTCGACCATATAGTTGTGGTCCTTATCAAGTATATACGATGTAATAAAAATCAGGAGACAGGCATAGACGATAATTTTTTATTAATGTGACTTGTGCAATTTACAAGATTAATAAATTTATTAATAAATTATTATTAATAATATAATATAATAAATATATTAATAATATAATTAATAGTATTAATAAATTTGTGGCTAGTTTGGTCCACTACACTTTTTCAATGATCCTTTGATTATTGAATAATATATGATTTAATTTAAGAAGAGTGATATAATCATTTTTTAGCTCTATCTAGCGCTGACTCTGATTTGTTCGATTTTGAGTTATTTATATTGTAATATTTCATTGATTATTAATAGTATATGTTATTAAATAAATTGTATATGATTATTTATGATTATGATTTATAATTATGATTTATTAAGATATTATAATTATATTTCGATTATATTTTATTTAAAGATTCGATTAACTTTAAATATTTTTTTTTTAATTCTAAAAAAAATTCTAAAAAAAGTTTATATTTAATTATACATAAATTATCAATTATTTTACTATATAATATCTGTGTAATATCTTATTATGCAATAACTATAACAAATGTAAATTATCTATCATTATCTTGTCACCCAGACAGCATAGAATATTGTAGCAGTATTATTAATATTGTTGTAACATTGCAGCAACATTGCAATATTGTCACAATATTGCTGCAATGTTCTGTGCTGTATGAAGTATTACAATATTCTATCAATCTTACGTCATTATTAGTAAATTATTTAATTTTTAGGTTCAAAATTTGGCTATATGCAAACCAAGATTGGACTTGTTAGTCTCCTGTCGAAATTCAAATTCATACTTGATCCCCGAACTATGATCCCATTAACTTATGATCCGAATAACATGATACTTACGCCCAAAGAAGGTGTATACCTTACTATAAAGCCGCTATAAAAAATAATATATAAGCACTCTTGAATATATTTAAATTTACTTCCAAAAATGTTATATATATCTCATACAACATAAAAGCTTGCAATAACATTGCTGCAATGTTACAGCATTACTCATTGCATTAAAATGTAATAAAAATATTGCAAAGAGATTATTTAACATTATTATTTCAGTACTGAAATAATGTGCAAAAACATTTTTAAATAATAAAAATGTATAATAGTGTATGACATATATGTTTCTTCGCTTGCAACTACGCAACGACAAACTTAACTAACTCGTATTTAAATTTTCATCAGAAAATGGGTAAAAATAAAACCTCCAAAGGACAGACTAATATAAGATACAGACTAACATAAGATCCGAAGTATGTTTCTTTTCTTTTGTCAGTTTAATTTCTGACAAACTGACTTGATTTAAAGTAATTTGTTTAATAATCTTGATCCTTTGTTGGAATTCAGTATATTAAATGAATTATTTGAAATTAGACGGATAAATGGCTAATAGTTCATTTCTTGCGTGTATTAAAATATTTTTATTGCCGAATGTATGTAAGATAGTCGTATATAAATTATCGAGATAAGCATTAAATAGGAAACATTTAATAAAAAACAAAGATTTCGTAAACAGTTAATAGATTATCCTTTCTTTTATCCGTTATAAATATTAATATTTACCTTATTGCTTGCCAAATAAAATCTATTTTGTATAAACGTGTTTTATTTTTAATAATTATTTTAATATTTGTGTTTTCTTATTCTATGAATCATGTTAAAATATCATATAAAAATTTCATATTATATATGTATATATATTTGCAGCTTTTAAATTTTATCTCGATTTATTTATTTTATCATTGATTGACAACTTTTAAATAATATTTAAAAACAATTAAGCGATATACGATTTCTAATCTTTTTCATATCGATATGAGAATTTCATTGTTATTGCATGTAACAATTAGTTTAGTCTACTGCTTTTCCAATAAAAGATTCTAAATATTAAACGAATTGTTTGAAATTGAGAGGATAGATAGGAAACTGTTACTTTTATTATTTGAAGCAAAAAATCAAAATGTAATGTTTTTATAAATTAAATCTCGAATTTTAAACATTAAGCATTTATAATTTTCTTATTATATTTTTCCCCTTTATTAATACCATATTATTGTGCTGTTCAACATTTCGGTTTTTTTTTGTCTTAGGAATTGAGATTCCTAAGAATGCCAGGGAACAAAAAGACGAAAATGTTCCATACAGAAAAAATTTCTTTCCAATAGCTTACAATCTTACATTTCCAGCATTGTCGAAATTTCATAACTTATATAATGGAATTGATTGACAAATTTAAATGCTTTCCTACATTTCTATTTATAGGTATGAGTAATTGTTCAGTTATGTTCATGCAGAAAACGTGAAAACGTAGAATGTTATTTATCATACGTAAATTGGATTTGGTATCTATATTGGCATCTATGCCATCCAAATATTAAATATTAACGTCTATGCGATTATCATTGAGTTCTCCTGTATGCGTTACCAAGATTGTGTTTCAATGCAAATGACTTGGAAAATATAATAGTGTTTGTGGAAAATATAATCATAAACTTTTATTCATGTGAAGTAATTAATGGGGGACATACACCCTGACATACCGAAAACGACTTTATTTTCGAACTTATTAACGAATTTTTTTCGTGGAAAGTATTATTAAAACACATGAGTTTTACTAATATATTATATATATTTTTTTTAATACAGCGTTACGTTTTTATCAAAAAATATAAAAGATATTGTCTCTGGCGCCAGACGTGTTCCCATGTATTATGCTTTACGCTAATCATTGTGCCTGCTACAAGGTTCATCTAAAACAAAAAATCAATTGATTCTTAAAACAGATGGATATATCTAATCTTTGCAGTAGCCTATTTAAAAAATTCGCACTACTTAAAAAAATGATGTTAACGATAATTCGTTGCCGAAATATTTTACGGACTATAACATATACTGTTATACATGAAAATATTAAATTGCAAGAGTTTTTTAATTTATAGATTAATTAATCAATTATTAAACAAATAATTTACGTAGCATTTCGCATCATTACTTTACTGCTCGCGTGTCACCGACCAAATGATAGTAAAACCATACAAACATACAAACAATAGCACGCTATTGTTTATGTCATCAAAGTCGAACATAATGTTATTGATAATTTATTGCCGAAATATTTTATATACTATAAAGTATATATATATATATATATATATATATATATATATATATATACACACGAGTAGAATTAAATTATAGAACTATTTTAATTTATTAATTAAAATTGATTATTTATTATCAAGTAGAACGATAAAATAACATGGATAAAATACATTTAAGTCTAAATATCACACATTAAAATAATAATTATTGCCCATAAAGCTTGCAATAAAACGATTATTTATTATCTTATTGTTAGATTCCTATCACTTTAATTCTTGATTAAATTGTACACAATTGTAATATGCATTTCTAGATCTATTATCGCGACATAATTTTACGCATTATTTAGCATATATGAAATTAAGTATTAATCATATCAAATTATTACTTAATGTACTTATCAAATTAATCGCGTTTAAAAAAAGGAATTTGATGAAGCTCCTATCACTATTTTATTCGAATTCATTGCGCTAACAAAACCAAAGCACGTAAATATTAATGCGTTATGTATATATATATATATATATATATATATATATATATATATTGCAAAGATTGGACGCGGTATTATTATTAATTTGTTGCAAAAATATTTTATATATTATAGCATACATATACACAAAATATTAAATTAATTTAGAGTATTTTAAATTATTGATTAATTTATTATATACGATTGATGTATCACGAATCTTTATATTAATCTCGACTTTGACTGTCAGATAAAAGAAACGATAATAAACAAAATAAACGTATTTAGTCAAGTTAATAATTTTTTTTCTTTGTATAATATCTTATATAATATCTAGGGAGAGCTTCAGTTGCCTGCATTCCCGATTGCTGCTTCGTTTGCGTACAACATTTTGCCGACAGCTTCTTTTGCCAATGTTTGTTTCTTTTGACAATGTTTATTTTGAAAATAATATATAAATATGATAAATATATAATAAAATTATTTATCGCATATGTGTGTGTTCCGTACGTTGCACAATGCTTTTCCAGAGTTTTTTTCTCTTTTCTCCAGATTTGTCATTTCGTTACATATAATTATATTATTAAGAAAGTTAATTAATCATACGTTAAAAATGTAATAATATATCTTCAACACCCCTTCTTCTGAGCGATCATAAAATTATAAAAAGATATTTAACGCTACTAATAATTAAATCTCTTTATAAAATAAAAGAGAATACTATTGGTACTATAAGAAAATTATAATATAATAAACGGTTTCAAAAATCGCACAAAACTTCAAAAAGATAAAAATATGACAATAATTTAATCAAGTGACTATAAAATCATGAAAATTTTATTATCTTTGCTAATGATAAAAACTTTACTAATGATTATTTATAACATAAAAAAAGAAACTGTTCGAAACTATACAAAAATTATAACAGAATATACAAAGCACTTGAAAATCGACAATTCTATGCGATAATTCTTTGTATATAAGATTTAGATTGATATAATTTAAATTTATAACTTTTTTAGAAATTAATATAATTTAATATTATAATTGCACTACACGATGTTGAGAGAGAATATAAAAAAATAAGTTAGTGTATAAAACACAAATTTTAAATATTTATCTTATGTTTTTAAAAATATGTAATTGCAATTATATTAAATTGTAAAAGTATTTTAATTTATTTATAAATTAATTGTCGACTCTTAAAAATATTATATGTCAAATATTATATGTCATTCTTCAAATTATGTATAATTATGAATATTACAGTCTATTGTGCCTCTTTTCCGCCATGATAATTAGTTATCTCATTATGCTTACAGAAGACGCACATAGCTTTATAATTCAATAATAGTAAAAAAAATTAAATATACTTGTTTATAATTAATAATAAATAATTTTTTGCTACATTGACGAATTCTTCATTTCTCTCTTTCTCTCTCTCTTTTTGAGTATATTAAAGATTCCTTTATAACTATATAAATTTTACAAAACGTATTACTATTAATATTTATAATTAAAAATTAATTAAAAAATTGACAAGAGCTAGTAAAAGCGATTCTCAATTTTCTCTTTGTAGAATGCCTCTCAGTCGCGCTGTTGGTAAGAACATAGTTCAGTATTATCAATAAACGATATAATATGGGCTTTATAATCAGACTCCCATATTCTCATTGGATCTATATATATCCTTTGCCTGAAGTATATATATTTTTTTAAATATCAACATAATATATATAGAAATAACCAACAATATTCATTTTGTCCATGTGGAACAAGCGTAGCAAGCCTTGTTAAGTACCACCATCTGCATCCATTTTAGAAACTACCTAGCATTATATAATCCAATCTATTTTTTTATTTTATGGTATAATTACTTGATATACATTTAAATTATAAGTTATAAATACATATTTTCCGTTTATAGATTTAATTGTATATTTTAATAACTGCGTGTATAATCTTTTCCTATTATAGTATATATATATATATATATATATATATATATATATATATATATATATATCATGCACATTAATATGTTATTATTGGAATACATTTATATACGCATGTATACGTAAAAGTTATTGTAAGTAAAAGAGAGGGAAAAGCATAAAATAATATTTACTAGACTTAATTTTTCTTAATTAAAAATAATATCAGAAAATGAATCAATTATTTTTAACAAGATAAATAAACATTTTATTTTGTATCATTTTAATAATTTTTACTAAATATTGTACGCGCATATTTTGCTAAATATTTTATTAAGCAAAATATAAATATTATATATTCTATATATAATATAAAATATATTTGCGATTAAAAAATTAAATATATTTTTTTTCTTATTCTTCTTGTTAAACTAAATGTATTAATTTATCAAGTATTAAATAATACTATATATATATATATATATATATATATATATATATATGATATATATATAATATATATACACACACACACACACACACACATATATATATATATATATATATATATATATATATACATATTAAAATAAATAAAAGAATCTCCTAAGATTACATGCAATTTGTGTATATATGTCAATTATTGCGTACATAATTGACATATATACAGAAATTGCATGCAATCTTATGAGATATATATACATATATATAATTTTTTTA